AACTGTCAATTGGCAACAAAGCAGCGGCCAGAACGTATCTGAATGTATCTGAGCCAACGAAGAGATCGATCGGCCGAGAACGGCATTGAATTAAGGATACAGGTCACTCGACGCACAAAGGGACCGCCGGTTTTAGGAGCGAAATGAGATGGTTTTTCGGGAACTGGCCGCTGACGAATCGCCGGCAATTTGTTAGCATTAAACAACAACTAATGGGTGCCATTGATGGGGACGTGCATCGAGAACATTTAATATCGTGTATATGCACACACAATCGGTTCTGTCACAGGCCGACTGTGTGTTTCTGAACGGTGCAGTTTAAAAACGAAATTAATAAAAATTTCACTTGAATTGACAAAGTGGCCGAACGCCGTGACGTTCAACTGACGACAAGTGCCACTTGACAAGCTGCCGAACTTGAAATTTTTTATTTCCCTCCGCAGCTCAGTACTTCATTGTTATAGCCGGCATATAGAAGTCTGACTCCTTGTCTGGCTCGATTCGCTGGCTGATTTGTCGGCTGACTGGTGGCTGGTGTTACCTGTCCGCTAACCTCGTCCCACAGCTGGCGATTAATCTTGACATTGAGCCGCATACAGATGCACAGACAATGGCCGAGTGGCATATATAAATGCGATTTCTCGGCTGTTGACAGTAAATAATTTAGCCATCCATAATGGCCACTGATGAGTGTTTTCTGACCTGTGAAGAGACGCTCTCACAGTTTTCCCGCAGGCGATTGCCGACGATTGCATGCGAGATTGCTATCGAGGAAGCTCACGTGCAGAGCACGCGGCCAATGGAGGACACAAGTGCCAGGACCCATCGACATCGGCCACTAGGACATGTAAAGGGATGTACAAATAGATTCCCAGGCCAGAGCTGGTGCTTCACGACAAGTGCAGGTCATCATAATCATGGGCATCATCATCGACATCATTACAATCGACCGCAACTACTTTAATTACCACGCTAGCCGCAGGCCAAACTGCACTGGCAAAAACACGTTTTTTAATTCGGTAAATCGAAAGTTATTTGAGTGGTAAAATATATATAATATAGGTTGACCTTTTATACAAGAAGTTAACTAATTTCCAATAAATAATACAAAACATCTCTTGTTTCTTAGGTTTTTCAATTTTGAAATACGGAATTTAAAGGCAATACACGTTTTTTAATTCAGTAAATCGAAAGTTATTTAAGTGGTAAAAGGGGGTCGTAATATAGGTTGACCTTTTATACAAGAAGTTAACTAATTTCCAATAAATAATACAAAACATCACTTGTTCTTTAGGTTTTTCAATTTTGAAAGACGGAATTTAAAGGCAATAACCATATTTTATTATTTTTTCACACTCTTTTTTTCTTTTACTTAAATACATTCCAGTGTAATCCGAGGTTAATAACTGTAGCATGCCGTGGGCGTGGGTCAAGGGGTGGGCGTGCCCGCTCGACAATTGTAATGCAAAGCGCGCGCGTGTGTGCGTGAGTGGTTGGGCTGTGTGAGTGTGGACCTCGAGAGGGGATCCCCCCGGGCGCATTGCAAAATTCAGTTTCGCTCGATGGCAAAGTTGAGCGTCTCGCCGCTCAAGTGCCAGCCCGCCGGGCTATTGACAGAAATCAAAACGGACCAAGTTGGGCGGACTCGACTCGACTCAGTGGGATCAGGCGAAATGGCAAGCGTTTCCCAGATTTTTTTACCGCCTGCCTGAATGCCGGCCGCCCCCTTTTCTTCCAGTCGAGATGACGGCTTATCGTGGCATCAAAACAAATTCGTTTGAAATTAATTCGGAGATTTGCTTTCATTAGGCGGCTTGCCGGGTGCAAAGTATGTAACTGTGTTGGCAAACACAATGCCGAAACCACCAACCCGACACGCTGACGTCCTGAGCTGCGGCTAATCCCCAAGCAAAACTTTTGGCTGGTGGAAGGTCGGTCCAAGTTTCAGACCTCCACTCCCAGCGACACGTGACCCTCACCCCCGAAAACGATTCGATTGTGTTCCGGAATCGCTTTTTGGACTGCGTCATCACTTTCCATTGCGGAGAGGAACTGAGTTGCTCCTAATGTGACAGTTTAATTGCAGGTGAGGCGAAAAGGGTCGCGTGCTGAGGGAAGCGCCGCTGATGCAATTAGACTGCCGACTGGCGACGACTTTCCCATTGTCCTGCCGTGACTTCTCCATTGAGCCTGCCGTGCGGGCTTCCTGGTGTCGCTATCCATGTCCTGTTGTGCGGGTGCAGTGCGGCGTACCTGGATAAAGCTCTTTTGCGGATCAATAGAGATGACTTTCAACAGCTTTCGGTAAGGGATGTATGGGGTGTTGTCCTAACAGTTCTTCTGTTCAAGCCAACCGTATAAATTCCTCAATAAAAGCGTCTTTATATTGAACTCTTGAAGAATTAATAACCTCGAAAACTTTTTTAGGCAAAAAACATTTTTATTAATCAATAATTAGGAATAAATAAAATTAATTTGCATACTCTACATTAGCGTACAAATTATTTATTATGCATGAAAGCCTGCGAACTTGGTTAGGCTATAAATCAGCCAGTGACACGTTTCCCGGGGGAAAGCTAGGGTCAATTAACCCGTCGTTATCATGAGACCTCGCTGCGAGGGAGTTGCCAAATAGATCAAAGAGTTCCCTTGTTCCCGAAAACCCCAGAGCAGAAGTCTCTTTCCCATTCTTCCCCCGCTCGAAACTCGACCACCGACCGAGAAAAAACTTTCTCACATTACATCACGGACCAGCGAGGACGGCTAAAACAACAAGGACAACTGGAGCGCTCTAAATGGACACCGAACAACATCGTTTAATATTGATGGACATTGTTTGAGCTCTTTATGATGGGAAAGTGAGGCCATCGCTGCCTACGCTTTTCGTTGCCGGTTCAAGTGAATATTTAATTAAATTGTTTTCTAATAACCACGCGCAACTTTGTTGGACGCGAAACACGCGTTGGCAAGCGGCGAGCGGCGGCAGGCCACGCGGCAATCGCAGGACCACCGGGCCAGGACACACCTTGTTGTGCCAACAACATTAGCAGGGGCCGAAATAAAAAAGAACGCAACACAGAAGCGAGAACGAAAACGAAAACGAGAGCCACCCCTTTTTTGCTGCGTATCCTGGTTCTAATTTTCCAAATTACGCACCATCAATCATCGCAAGCTTTGACGAACGTCGAAGGCAAAGTGGATGTGGATGGGGATGTGGAAGTAGATGATGTTGATGATGACGTTAGGAACTACCCCCACCCATTATGGACATCCCACCCGACCAATCCCCTGGCGCAATCACTTGAAGCCAGCGACGTTGCGGCAGCCGCAAGAAAAAAATTAAATTAAACTTCAAGAGGCCACAAGGACCTGCTGGCGAACTAGCATCCTGAATCCTGCAACCCGTAACCATGGGAAGCTGATGTGCTCCTGCTGTTTTCCGTCGTAATTAACGCTAATTGCGTTTGGCCATAAGCCGGACTTTTTGACTTTTCCACGTGTTTTTCGGATTGTCCAAAGGATTTTCCCACCTAATCCTCAGCGAGGTCTGTGTTTTTGTTATGGCTTGACTTTGGCTGACAACAATATTTGCGTTGCATAAATAAGCAAGAGATAATGCCGATCGGAAGTGATTATACTTATGGATTTCTTGGGAAACAGTGTCTGCCGCAATCCCGATCCCAGCAGGACTTTAAAACTGGCCATCGGACTGACCAACGTCGGTTAGATAACTCTCAACCCCTCCATCTGGTAATTGAGAATGCACTCCGGCTAATGAAAGCGGCCATCGACGGATGGATGGGAAGTGGCCAAATTGACTGGATGCGGGGGAACGGCTCAAGGATTAATATCGCAGTGCAATTAAGAGCTCAATCACTGTGACTCGACTCGGGTCTTGTTTGCCTCTCTCTGATTACATTTATGAAATTATTATTGATGTTTGGCAGTGGTGGTCACCACAGCCCAGTGTCCAGAAATATTCCACAGCCCTCCATCAGGCCCCATCAGCAACCCCATTTCTAATTTCGTTGAGTAGCCCTAACTCCGATGGCTTGGACTTTGCTTCGGCCAAAGCAGACAGGCCATTTTGATTGAAATGCAGACACAAAATGCTGGCAGGCAGCCATTATATTTAAGCTGGCCCCGATCTATACATAAGTATGTTCGTGTGGAAGGACAGCAGCGGGTATATTTATAGCTGGACTATTTAAAACTTTCTTAAAAACATACTCTTCTCTACTATCGTTTAGTTCTAATACATATAATCTCCTATTCATCATTGGTTATACATATATTTTTCCCCACTAAATAGCTTCCTATCATTCATTTTCATCATTCTTATCGTACTGATTTGACCACAGCTGTATGTGCATCCCATATCCTCTCACACTAATCTCTATTATGTACACAGTTGATTTGCCTGCCACTCACCCACTCGCATTTCGTCCGAATCCTCGTTCAGGACTCCCCTACATAAGTAACGCCACATATGATTTCATTCATATGCAGGAGAACTATACTCCTACCTCCCGTCCTCCCTCCAGAAAGCCCTTCATTGATTTGCAATGCCTAAAATGTTTCAGCCTGATGATGGGTCCGCCCGAACCCACATCCAACGCCCCATCGACCATCATCCACTTCTTCTGCTGTTGCTGTTCCGCTCTGCCTAACTGCCAAACATTCCCAAATGCCGAAGTGCGTGTCTCTCTGTTGGTGTGCGTGGTGTGTTTGCCATCGTTTTTGGAAATATTATATGCTCATACCTCCGTTTTCGAGTAAATTGTGTAAATATTTGCGCTCGTAAGTGGATTGGAGATGGATGAGTCTATCAACAGAGAAGTTGGCGTTGGCAGAGCCGCTGGCATCGCCATCATCATATGCGTATGGGTTGGCATTGCTGCCATTTCCATTCCGCACCCCAGTTATCCTTCCTTCAGGACTTTGCTACAGCCCACTTGCAGCTTGTTGCATTTCACGAAATTGGTTCTCTTCAAAAGCTCTACAATCTGACAAAGAATTTATTTCACTATTACATTGTAAGCAACGAGTGCACAGCCGAGAACTGATTCACTTAATGTTCTAACAAAAGGCCAGATAAACACAGTGCCACCTTACTTAGTGGCCTTTTTATCGGTTTCCTTCTCCGGTTCGCTTTCCGTGGTTTCATCGTCGTCCTCATCATCATCCTCCTCATCGCTCTCATCCTCGTAATCTCCATCGGACTCATCGTCCTCATCATCATCATCGCCATAGGAGTAACTACCACTGGTTGCACCACCGTAATACCCACCTCCACTGCCACTGGCTCCAAAGTAGCCGCCGTAGCCATCCTCGTCGTCACTGTTGCCTCCCTGTTGCTGGCGGCCAAACTTGTGCGACCGCGTGGACATGCTGAGGTCCTTGGTCACCGAGGTGTCGTAGTTGCACTTGGGACACGGAATGGGCTTGTTCTTGTCGTACTTAAAGCCCTTGCGACGCACATGATCCTCGCAGTAGCAGGTCTTACAGCGCAGGCACGAGTACTGGCCCAGTTTGTTGCACGACTGGCACTTGTAGTTCTCCGACTCCAGAACCTGGAAGGTATTCGAAGGTTGTTTTTAAAGAAGTTGTAGGGCCGAAACTTAAATCTTGTTCTCTTTCAAGGCAATATATAAATTAGGATTTTGAGACCCAAAATGCTTTACAGCATACAACCTGATCATGATAATAACCAACCTGACAGCTGGCCTGGTGTTCGAACTGGTCGTCCTCGCACAGGAAACCGTTGCAGAAGGAGCACTTAAAGATGCGGCCGCCGTGCTCCCAGACGCCGCGCTCGCATTCCAAGCAGGTTGCATTCTGCAGCGGACACGTGCAGGCGTGGTTTTGGAGGCATTTGCGCCCGTGGCACACCCACGCCTCGCAGAAGTCGCAGATGGCGCCCACCATGCCCAGTCCTGTGGTGTAGACCCCCGGGTGCTTCACCACGCAGTCCCCCGTCTTCAGCATACACTTGATCTTGCCGCACTGGGCGCAAATGGGCAGTCTTTGGAGGCTCTGGCAGAAGTAGCAGAAGGCCCGAGACTTTTGCTTCTTCTCGCACTTGTCGCACTCCATCGGCGCATTGCACGGGACGTCCGCCAAGGGCGTCTCCCTGCTGCGAATCTCCTTGAGCCGCAGTTTCTGCTTCTCGGCCTTCTTTCGCTGTCCCGTTTTCTTTTTCGGCATTTAAAAAAAAAAATTAGAAACTTTTGTTTCTTACGTGGGCGGCAGTGTGGATGCTAGCCGGTCGGTTAAAAAACGACTCAAAAAGCTTTAGTCTTTGGTATTTTTCTTGCAGGTAGGTATATTTTCCAGAGTTGTCACAGAGTTATTTCTATTTGAACACATTGCATCTACCCATTTAACTGGATTTCTACAACTAAGCTACATGTAATCCACTTGTTTAAAATAAATATTAAAAAATATTCCGAGATTTCAAACTGATAAAAAAGTTAATGCAATATCTAGCTATAAATTGGCAGCGGAACACTTTTCGGTATTTTTTAAGCATTGTGCGAGGGTTTTTACTAAAAAGAGATACATTTACACGGCGTTTGACGTCACTTAACTTTCTTAACTTAAGAAAAGTGGAAATTTTCCAATAAAAATAATACATTTCGAGTGCAGTTACAAACAGTTTACTAACGAATTGGAATATGGGCGGTCACGATAACTGGAACCACAGGAGCAATTCCAATGGCCACGATGAAGATGTAAGTACAACCTTGTAAAATTGCATTGCCAATTTTCAATAAGGTATAAGACAGATATTTTTTACTTAAAAAACATAATTCAGTTGTTATTTAAAAGTTCAAAGCATACTCAAAAATAAAATTAAATGTGGGACACCTATTTATGCCGGTAAAGCTCTCTAAAAAAAAAAACTTTGATAATTTGTTATACAGAACTTTTTTAACATTGCATTATAACATTTTATGGAAAAGCAGGGCAATCCGAGGTTCAAACCAAGGTCTTCTAGTAGCGGGAGAAAGTGGTTTTAGTATTTTAACAAGATGTTGAGATTATTTTGAAAACACCGTACGGTTACACTTTTCAATTTTTTTCAATCGAAGCGTGTGTGTAAGGGGACTTTCTCCATTTTTGAAAAGGGAAATAGTTAGAATACAGCTAAGTTAAGAAGAATAAGTAGCAAAATGGTGAACAACTCAAACCAGAATGGCAACTCAAACGGCCACGATGATGTAAGTAGTCTTGAAGCAAAACAAGAAAGTTTTACGCGAGCGGGTGACTCACTTCACCGGTCGCCATTTTGAAATTACGCATGTGTCTCATAGGCAGAAAAGTGAGGTTAGGTTCCAGGGTGAGAAAAAAAATCAATAATTGGTATATGCGATTTCCCCCAGGATTCGATCACCGAGCCGGAGCATATGCGCAAGTTGTTCATCGGCGGACTGGACTACCGCACCACCGATGAGAACCTGAAGGGCCACTTCGAAAAATGGGGCAACATCGTGGACGTGGTGGTCATGAAGGATCCGCGCACGAAGCGCTCCCGTGGCTTCGGATTCATCACCTACTCCCACTCGAGCATGATCGACGAGGCCCAGAAGTCGCGTCCCCACAAGATCGACGGCCGCGTGGTCGAGCCCAAGAGGGCAGTTCCCCGCCAGGATATCGACTCCCCCAATGCTGGGGCCACGGTCAAGAAACTGTTTGTGGGAGCTCTTAAGGACGACCACGACGAGCAAAGCATCCGTGACTACTTCCAGCACTACGGAAACATCGTCGACATCAACATCGTCATGGACAAAGAGACCGGCAAGAAGCGTGGATTCGCCTTCGTCGAGTTCGATGACTATGATCCCGTCGACAAAGTTGTGTGTAAGTAAAGACCAATTATTTGTAGATTCAAGTATAAACTAATATAATTTTTTAAGATAAATAATGGCAAAAATGTACATTCATAAGGTTAGGTCTGAAATAAGTACAGTACAAGTTTCAACATTTGTATCTTGGGAAGTATCCTCTTAAGATCAGAGCATTTTAGATTATTTCCTATTTTCACAGTCCCAGCTCCGCATAGCAATGTTTGATGTGTTCATGCGGCGTTTGCGACTGTTAGATAAAGCTGGCTCGTATTATATCGTTGTTGGCTAGACACCCCACATGTGTAGTCGATGAAAACGTATGCGCCACATTGGCCTCAAGGTTTAAATAACCCCTGATCCGTTTGCTTACACAGTACTGACAAATTGTCGGGCTTCGTGTAAAACGCCCGTTCAGTTTTCCTATAAACGCTGTAAGACAAATCAAAGCGTCGGCTAAGCTATGTTATGCGAATGTAAATGTTAACCCTATTCAGTGTAACACGCAGCCTCGTTACAAATGCATTGATTAGACGAAATCCACAGTCCCAGCTCCGCATAGCAATGTTCGATGAGCTCATGCGGCGTTTGCGACTGTAAGATTAAAACCCAGCCAGTATTATATCGTTGTTGTTGGTGGTTGTAATGCACCAATGATGAAAGAGTATATGGTACACTTCCATTTTGATTCACCTTATTGGACCCATCAAAGAAGACCCTAGCTCATACTTTCTTTAGCTTCACAGTACTGACAAATTGACAGGTTTGAACAGAATGCCTGGTTAGTTTTTTTTTTAACGCTGTAAGATTAATAATATCGTCGGCTAAGCTATGCTATGCGAATGTAAATACGAATCCTATTCTGTGTAACACGCAGCCTCGTTACAATTACTTTTATTAACTTATTAATACTTATATAGAAATATAACCTCCACAGTCCCAGCTCCGCATAGCAATGTTCAATAAGTTCATGCGGCGTTTGCGACTGTAAGATTGAAACTCAGCCAGTATTATATCGTTGTTGTTGGTGGTTGTAATACATCAATGATGAAAGAGTATATGGCACACTTCCATCCTTTTTCTCCTAATAGGGCCCATCAAAGGAGTCCCTAGGTCATAATTTCTTCAGCTTCACAGTACTGACAAATTGACAGGTTTAAACACAACACCTAGTTAGTTTTTTTTTTAAACGCTGTAAGATTAATAATAGCGTCGGCTAAGCTATGTTATGCGAATGTAAATACGAATCCTATTCTGTGTAACACGCAGCCTCGTTACAATTACTTTTATTAACTTATTAATACTTATATAGAAATATAACCTCCACAGTCCCAGCTCCGCATAGCAATGTTCGATGAGCTCATGCGGCGTTTGTGACTGTTAGATTATAGTCCAGCCAGTATTATATTGTTGTTATTGGTGCTTCCAATGCATTAATGATGAAAAAGTATTTGGCACACTACTATTCGATTTTGTTTTAAAAAGTCACAGTACTGACAAATTGGCAGGCTCGATAAAGAAACCTGGATAGTTTTCCTTAAAACGCTGTGAGAATAATAAAAGCGTCGGCTAAGCTATGTTATGCGAATGTATAATAAATTAAATTCTGTGTAACACGCAGCCTCGTTACAATTGCAAAATAAATCGATGTGTTTTGCAAAGTAAATTGTAAGGTTTTCTAAGGAGTAACGAAATTATGCAGACAATTTTGTAAAATACAACTATCACTGAATTAAAATCATAATAGACTCTATTTCGATAAAAAAAAAAATATAAAGACAACCATTTTATGCCAATTTATAATCCACTTTCACAGTCCCAGCTCCGCATAGCAACGTTTGATGTGCTCATGCGGCGTTTGCGACTGTAAGATGAAATCCCAGCCAGTATTATATTATTGTTGTTGGTGCTTTAATGTGCGCCAGTGATGAAAAAGTATATGGCACACTGCTCTCTGGATTTACTATCCGGACTGCTTTCCTTTTCTTTTTTACTCTATTAATAGCCATTTTCCACTTCTTTTTGCAGTGCAAAAGCAGCATCAGCTGAATGGCAAGATGGTGGACGTGAAGAAGGCCCTGCCCAAGCAGAACGACCAGCAGGGAGGCGGCGGAGGAGGACGCGGTGGCCAGGGAGGCCGTGCCGGTGGAAACCGCGGCAACATGGGCGGCGGTGGCGGCAACTACGGCAACCAGAACGGAGGTGGCAACTGGGTGAGTGGATTTGGATCTGCTTCTATTTTGAGTCTGGTTTAATAGCTGGCTAATTGACCTTCTAGAACGGCGGTGGCAACAACTGGGGCAACAACCGCGGAGGCAACGACAACTGGGGCGGAAACAACTTTGGAGGGGGCGGCGGCTACGGAGGTGGCAACAACAGCTGGGGCAACAACAACCCGTGGGACAATGGCAACGGCGGTGGTAACTTTGGCGGCGGCGGTGGCTCCAACTGGAATGGCGGTGGCAACGACTTTGGAGGCTACCAACAGAACTACGGTGGCGGTCCTCAGCGCGGTGGCGGCAACTTCAACAACAACCGCATGCAACCGTACCAGGGAGGCAACTTCAAAGCAGGTGAGCAGCTGACAAGCCATGTGAAATGCAGATAACGAGACACAGTACCCTGACACCTAATTGTTAGAACGTCGATAGAGTTTGGCAGTTAGCTTATTGAAATACTGTGAGATCAACTGACGATGGCCTTCGCTATGTTATGCGTATGTAAGACAAAGCCAATACGGCGTAACACGCAGCCACGTTACAGTTTTTGCGAATAGCCTCCACCAGTGTGGACTAGTTAGGGAGCCAGACACAGATTGGATGTTTCCTAACGATCCTGGGTTTTCTTTTAGGCGGTGGCAATCAAGGCAACTATGGCGGCAACAATCAGGGCTTCAATAACGGTGGCAACAACCGCAGATATTGAGGGAGAAGCCAGACGAGGTGAGCCATAAACCTAACACCATTAACACCTAGTCATAGTCCAAGGCGCAGTCAGACCATTAACCAACCAACTAATCCGTATGACCATTAACCTTTGGTTTGATTTGATTGACAAACGTTGCTGTAATGATTTTTTTTTTCGTTCTTAAATAGCGCCCTTATCGGCATTGTTTTTGGTAGTTTTTAACAGCTTATGGGACTGAAAAGCAAACCGGCTCAGACAGTCCGACCCACCTTACTCAACCACCCTAATAAAGCCTTACGTATTTACTCTTAAAACGTATTTACTCTTAAAACGTATTTAGCGAACAAAACCCATCAACCAATTAAGAACCCTTCTTGCCAACCAATTGTTTTAAATAACTTTTCTCATTTATCGACATTTTATAGGTGATAAAGTAAAAGTCGCTCAGTATAAGCCCAAAATTCAAAGTCAAGTAAACGATACGCAATACAATGATCAATAACGAGTATGAACGCACGTTCATAGACCTAAGAAGTTTTCCGAGCACCACAAGCCAAACCGAACATGACAGAGAAGAGAGTGATCAGGATCAGTGCAGTGCAGTCGTAAGGAGTTTGGTTCAGACTTGGATTAGTGCAGAAACAGAGATATCAGTACCAAGCCAGACCAGACCAGTACAGTACAGAGCAGTGCAGTGCAGTGCAGTTGCAGTTGCAGTTGCAGTGTGTGAGCTAAGCAGACTTACAAATCATTCAGAGAGATCGCACACAGCCAGTGGCAGCAGTACACGTACACAGCAGCTGGCCAGGATTCCATTCGATTTGTTTGCACACGGTGATTGATTGTTAAGGCGCATCGAAAACTATCTTCAATATTCAATAGAATTTTAATCTAATTTCACATTGTAGCAACCGAGTTAAGTAACATTGTAATTAGCAACAAGCCGCCAGGCAAAACATTTGTATCTTCACACAACCAACCTATTTAACCCTCCAGCCATTAATGAATCAGCTATGTACACTTCAAGGCGGCAGCCGAGCGAGACATGTTTATTTGTATGTAGACAACTCCAGCCCATCGGCCGCTGACAACTTTTGATAATCAGTGCAGAAAACACAAAATATAAAGCATGTATTACATTTATGACTTCTCTAGGCTAAGTTCTCATAGAATTAACCGAGTAGAGCGTGCGGCGATCTTCAGCAGCCGCACGCTGCCCTAGACTTAATGATTTACTATCAAGTTCTAAGCGAACCTGACCGTGTGGAGGAACCTAGACACTTAGAATTCTTTATAAGCGTCGACATGGAATATTTTATCCCCGCTGTTTAGATGTAACCGTGCAAAAACCAACACTTAATGTAATTTAAAACCTTTTAGCAAGCAGTCTGTCTGAGGTCAGCGCACTTATGTTTAACAAAATTTACATTTTAATGTAGCGAAAAAAATACAAGATTTAAAAATACACGAAAGTCCAGCAATTGATGTGAACTCTCGACCGAGCAAAAACTATTTACCTAAGTCAAAGCCCAGTAGTTTTGTAATTTCGTAGCAGCAGCAGCAGAAGGATCTCGAAAAGATGAGAGGAGAATTGGAGAGGTAAAGAAGAAAGCAAGTAGGACCCAGTCCAAAAGCAATCGTTATCCTGTAGCCTTGTTGGGGCGGGCCATTAACCCATTTCGAGAAAGTTCTCTTGTTACTCGCTTAACAGGTTTCAGTCTCCCCGTTTATTTGAACTGCCCACACCACCTGTACCATTGTCATTTACAACCTTGTATATTATTGTAATTTCTGTTGCAAGTCGGCTGTGATAAGTATGCGAAGCGCTGAAAGAAGCCCGCCGCGCTACTAAGCAGCCACGGAAGCTCCTCCGCACTTGCAACTCGCCGAAGGGACTCGGTTGCTTCTGTCCTGTCCCCAAACGAAAAGGGTAAGTAGTCCTCCGCAGATCCCAAAATCCGGATATTGTAACTTTCAGGTGGTCTGGTCGACGCGACACTAGAGAATGGAGCAAGTGTTCCTTAAGAGCGGCGTAAATATGCGACTAATCGTTGTTTTTGATTTTATTTTTATTTGAACTTACACTTTTAATAAAGAATTTCAGAAAACAAATCTTTGTGAAATTTATATTTAATTGGTTTTGGGCTTTCATTTTAAATTAGAAGTTGTAATAGATTTTACCTTTCCTGGTTTGCAAGCCATCAGAAACTTGGAAATATCTAATGTAAGGGTGCCACACATTTTCTATGGAAAATTTACAAAAACGCCAACTAATGCGTTCTGTTGGCCTGGTATTTGAAGTCTAAGTGTCACAAATTTTCTCATTTAAATTTTGCGGTCAAGCGGAAGACATTCAATCAAACCTCGCTTTGAAGTACCAGGCGAACAGAATTCAGGAGTAGGCGTTTTTTTTAGATGTGTAAATGTTCCATAAATGTGTGGCATACTTTTGGGAGCAAGTAAGAAATTTGATTTCCTCCTAAGATTTCTGAACCGTTCTCAAAAGTATGCTTCAAATGCAAGTGAAAATGTGCAAGACATGAGCAACAGCACATTTTGTATGAGCCTCCAAAAGTATGATACAATTTCGATAGTTCTAGTCTATTTTCTAGTTTTATTTTACATAATTTAGTATAACTATTCCTTAGGATTATAAATTCTGTAATTAGATTTTATATACATTAAAAATTTAATGAAATTTCATGAAAATGGGAATGCTATAGGAGCAATTGGAGAAAATATGAAAATATTTTCATGGGTCCCTTTTTGCCAGCCACCGGAAACTTGGCTTGGAGTCCCCGCTAAATCTACATCACCATCTCGCGGTATTTTAAGGCGGTCGCAGCATGGTCACACTGATTGCATTTTAAGGGGGAGGGGGCGTTAACTTGCGAATTAATGACTGCAACTAACTTAGACGCCCACCGAAGGCCCCAAAATGGACTCTACTGCCACTCGCACGCTGCCTTTTGTGTACAAGTACAAGAATCATGAAGGGAAGGACTGCGAGTCCCGGCTGGACATCACGTTTCCCTTCGACCAGGAGAACTTGGAGGAGTGTGTTACCCAGTTGATGGCTCCATCCCAGATGGATCCCATGATGAGGTATTTGGACGAGAATATCAGTGAGTAAGCCGTTACTCCCAGTTTAAAGAAGCCCCTAAGTGTGACAATTATCCCTTTAAGATCTGGAAAAGGAGCTTCAGCAGTTTGTGGACACGGAGCAGCAAAAGTTCTTGGATGACCAAGCGGAAAAGCTTCTCAATCAGTTGGCCAACGATGAGCTGGACATCGAGGTTATTGTGCGTGACACGGAGCGGTTGTATAAGGATGAATTGCTGCAGTTTGCCGATCGTGTGGGACCCAGCGACGCGGATATCTTCGCACAGAGTTTCCATAGGCTGGTGCACTCGTCCTCGCTGGAGGAGATCCTTAAGCGGGAGAGAACTTACGCCAAGATCGTGTCCGACATGACCGAGCACATGGACAGCGAGGTGGAGACGCTTAACAACTCGCAACAGCAGGAGATGGACAGCCAGATCAACCAGTTGGATATCACCACCACCTCGGAGGATATCAACAATCTTCTGGCCCAACAGTACACCACGCAGAATTTCGTGCGCAAGCGCTACGAATCGGAGCTGGAGGCCATGATGGGTCATCAGAAAAATGAGTATAGGGATTGGATAACCAGCCAAGTCAGCCAGATGTTCCAGGTATCGCCGGTAGCCACGCCGCTAGGCAATCGCTCCTCGATGTTTGTCTCGCAACAGCCTTCGATGGAGGAGAGCTTCACCATTCATTTGGGCTCCCAACTGAAGCATATGCACAACATCCGCATCCTTAGTGCAAATGTCACGGAGCTCTGTAGCCCACTGCACGCCGAGGAGAGTCTCAATGGCTTGAACATGGCTTTGGGATTGTATTCAAGCTCCCTTAGCGGCGTCGTTGTGTTGACCCCATCGATTCAGGCGCAAGCCAACAAGAGTATCATTAAGAACGCAAACAAATCCACCGAGTTCCACTTTGAACAGATCGATGTTCAGCTGGAGAAGATCGAGAAGCAGATCAAGAACCTAAGCCCTGCAGACTCGAGTGGCAGCAGCAACAGTAACAGCAGTGCCGAGGGCAGCGCCACACCTTCGCCGACCAAAAAGAGCGTGCCCAGGCTGAAAACGGGAGACTTCTTCATCACCAAGCACTCGAATCTCTCGCAAACGCATGTCATTTTCCACCTGATTTCAGACGAACCCATCAACAGTCCGAGTGAGATTAACTCAAGACATCCGGTCATCTTGGGATTAAGAAACATACTGAAAACAGCCAGTAGACATGATATTACCACGCTGACCATTCCGGCTCTGCTGCGTCATGAGATGAGCGAGGACATGACTGTCCAGTGGTGCATACGTAGAGCTGAGCTTGTTTTCAAATGCGCCAAGGGATTTATGATAGAATCCGCATCTTGGGGAGGCGCAGAGTTAAGGTGGGTTGTTGGCACTTAAAATACTTGTTCTCGGGTTTAAAATGAAATAATCTTTTCAGCACCTTGCAACTGCTACTGCCCGATGACATATCAGAGAGCCTGTTCACCACGCTGGCGGGAATGGTGCCCAGTGTGTTCCACGTGGCCAATCCCAAGATACTTGTGGACACCAGCAAGTAGACTGCGTACACATTCCTCCAAAAAGACTTTAATTATTTGTATGAATATACAGTTTATTCAGATTCAGAGTTATATATGTATGTATATGCTTCGTTTTCGTCGCTTCGCTCAAAAAGTTGTTTTAACTTCAACACACTCAGAATTTTCTGTAAATGTTCCTGTATCAATTTTGTCAGTAATTCATCGCAACCTTTTTCAAAACTACAACACTACAATGTATAAGTACATATTCTCATATATATAGTTATATGTTAGGTGTAGGTATCATGTGTATATTACCTCCAAATGTAAATGTTTATCTTTGGTTTCGACCCCTCATGCATTCTGTGTAATCTGTGTACCTCTGCGGATTGTATTGTAGTCTGTTCGGTTATCTAATACGATTATAATAATGATACTTTGAATAACTCTGATCATTAACTTGTAAATATGCTTTTGAAATATATATTTATGTATATCTAAACAATTGTATTCTGCGGTATTTCATAGGTTTGTTAACAATTAATTAGGTTCTGTTCATAAACATTTCGCTGTTCAACTTTTCTTCGATTTTTTTTTGGATTTAGCCCAGTGCGTTGTTTGCTGTGTCTGTGATTTGCTGCTTTGCAGTGGGGAGTAGAGTTTCAGAAAATATTTATTAATGCTTCAGATTTGTATTTGATTGGTTTGTTCAGCTTAAGGGTTACATAAAATTAGTGACAAGTGTTTAGGTACAGGAACGGACCGCTTTGAGTTTTGGGTGCGAGCAATATAATACACATATATCGTATCTCTTGGATCTTTAGTGCCGTTAAATGCACGAGATGGGAAAGGATAAATGGGTTTTTGGTTCTTTAGGCAACTGCATTTGAATAAAATTGACATAAACAGCGTAATTAATTGTTAAAGTAGCTCGTATAAATAAGTTAATGCTATAGCCGTTGCCAATAAATGCGCATTGGAGTAGTATGGCTTTCTGAACTGACCGCTTCTGCTTGGGAAGCCCTGTTCCAACATAATTTGTATTGTAGTTAAATTATACGCCATTGCTGTGTCTAACGCAAGGTGGTTTAATAAATACTTTTAAATTAATTCTGAGAACAGTGCTGTGGTCTGAGCTCTTAAGTATACGTTGGTGTGGTGATCTATTTAAATTTCGTTAGTTTTTCGCTACATTGAAGAAGAATCTGCTACAATTCGCATGCCAAAAGTGTAATGAAGTACTCTATATATGGGTTTTAGCTTAATACTTGGCGCATGCCTTAAACTACTTCGTATGGGTAGTATGCCTAAATATATTTAGTTAAATCAGAATACATGTTAAAAAGTTTACTAAAATTGAAACTATCACAAAAAACAAATACTTTATCAAAAGTACAAATAAATGGTTTAGGGTTGAGTATGTAAGGGAGTGAGTTTGGGAGGAGCGCATGAAAATGCAACCCGGTTTACATCTGGCTCTCTTTGCGCCACTGGAAGGTTCCCGACTTGACGCCAATGCTGGAGGAGCCCTGGTTGCTGCTGGAGGAGAGGATGTTGTTGGTGCGCCGGATCAACTGGGATGCAGCATCGAAGCGACTGCGAATAAGCCGCATTGCCGGATTACTCGACACTCCGCTACGCTTGCTCTTGCTGAGGATAGAGAAGCATGGTTATTGGTTGCTGATTAATCCTTTAAGTCTTAACTCACCTCGACGAGCTGGGCTGGTTTTCCTTGAGGTTGCCCAGTATGATACGCATGTGCGTGTCCCGGGCGAAGTGGTTATCCGGCAGCTTGGCGCCTCCGCCACTGCTAGTTCCGGCCCGTTCGTCGTCCACGAAGGCATTCAATCCCGGCAGTTGGCCGGGTGAGCTCAACTCGCTGCTGGGCGAATGCGGGGGCGTGGCATACAGGGGCGACATGCACTCCATGTCGTACATGTCTGCCTCGTTGGTCATGTTGGATGCTGTTAAAAAATCACTTAAGTAAGTTTCTTATTGGGTTTTTCATTTGATGGGCCTACCAAGCTGATGCTCGCTGAGATCGGGCAGAACCTGCGAGTGCCTCTGTGCTCCTCCGCCTCCACCACCTGACTTGAGACCTGCTGCTCCCGAGCTGGAGGCGTGCTTCGAGTTGACCATCAGATTGTTGCGTGAGCTGAGCTTGCTTTGTCGCTGCAATTGCTGGGTGAAGGTAAGCGGCGCTTGCTGCAAGGATTTCAACGCATTAACCACCAATTTCATGAGTCTTGACTTAAAGAATACTCACATCATTGCTGCTGCCCGTGGACTGACTAGAGATGACGCTCTTGCGCTTGTGCAAGCTGCTCGTGTCCGACTGCATGGTGTTCTGGTAGAAGTTGTTCGAGCTGTGCGTGGAGCTGGAGGCGTTGAGCACGTGCAGGTGGCTGCCGTTGTGCACCGTGGCCGTGGTGGCCGCCGAGCAGACCGACGTGGCGGAGGCTTGCGCAGGATAGGGAGCCAGGTTCTGGTGGAGCGGCAGGGCCGGCGGCTGGTCCGGAGACCTCAGCATGCTGGCGTGAGCATGGAACTTGGGTTCGTTGGGATTGCTAGCTTCATCTAGATGAAGGGATGGGAATAGGACAAAAGCATTAGTAACAGAGCAAGAGGCTTCTCCTGCGCGGCGGACTCTTACTTTTGGTGTAGCTCTCGAAGATCTTCAGGATGCTGGTGCGACTCGACTTGGCTGCCAGCTTGATGGGCGTGCGTCCGCAGTGGTCCGACTTATAGGGATTGGCCCCAAACTGCAGCAGGGCAATCACGCACTTCTCGTGACCCTCCTGTGCCGAAATCCCCAAAGCGGTGGCTCCCTGCTTGCAGGCGTGATCCGCCAGAGCTCCGTAGTAGAGCAGGATGTTCATCACGTCGTGGTTGCCCTGCCAGGCGCATGAGTGCAGTGGGGTGCGGGCCTCCAGGTCCATGGAGTTCACATCCGCCCCGGCCTCGATCAGGGTCTTGACCATGTCCGCGTGTCCCTGCCAGGCGGCCACGTGCAGGGCCGTTCGTCCCTCGCTGTCCGGAATGTTCACGTCCACGTTGGTCATGTCCAGCAGGTACTTCACGATCTCCAGCTTGTTCTCCAGCGCCAGGATGTACAGGGTGGTGCGCGAGTCCGCGTCCTTGGAGTTCACGTCGCAGCAGAACTTCAGCAGATACTCCACGGTGTCCATGTGGCCCTCCAGGCAGGACAGTCGGAAGGCCGTCTTGCCGTCGTGAGCCTTCTGGTCCACGAAGCTGGAGTGGATGTCCAGCAGGGCCTGCACGCAGTGGAGTCGTCCCTCCTGGGCGGCCAGATGCAAAGCGGTCTTGCCCTCGTTGTCACACTCGTCGATCTTGGCCCCCGACTCCAGCAGCTGCAGGCACACCTCGTGGAATCCCTCGAAGGCGGCGTAGTGCAGAGGCGTCCAGCCGGCGTTGTCCCGATGCGTCTCATCCAGTCCGCGGTCGAGCAGCTGCCGCACCGTCTCCACATTTCCCTGGGCGGCGCCAATGCTGAGAACGGTTCGTCCCTCGGAGTCCATGCAATCGATGCCGCAGCCCCAGAAGAGGAGCAGCTTCACCACAGTGGCGTGTCCGGCGGTGCAGGCCGCCCACAGCGGAGTGCGCCCCATGAAGTCAGCGAGATCCGGATCCGCGGCGTTCTCCAGCAGCAGTTCGCACACCTCGGCGTTGCCCTCGAAGGAGCTGACCAGCAGCGGCGACATGCCGTCGTTGTCCAGCTGATCCGTATTGGCGCCGTGGTCGAGGAGAGTGGAGATCACCTTGCTGTAGCCGGAGGATCCGCACAAGGCGGCGACGCAGAGAGCACTGCGTCCATCCAAGTCCAGGTGGTTGACATTGGCCCCGTTCTCCAGGAGAATCTCCACGATGTCATAGTGGCCCATGTAGGAGGCGGCGATGAGGGAGGTGCGTCCCTGGCGATCCACGGAGTTTACATCCGCTCCGGATTCAATCAGCAGCTTCAGGATGTCCTCGTGTCCACTCCAGGCAGCGGCCCTCAAAGCCGTGCGTCCTTCCTTGTCCGCGAGATCAATCTTGCAGGCTGGTTGGGCGATCAGCAGTCGCACCACCTCGCTGTGACCTCCCCAGGATGCTGATCTCAGAGGTGTCCAGCCATCGCGGTCGGCGTGGTTGACATCCACCCGCTTCATCCGACCGGTTCCATCGTTGCAGGGCTGCGAGAAACCCAAGAGCAGCTTCACCACCTCGAGATGGCCATTCCTTGCGGCAATATTCAGGGCCGTCTGACCATTGTAGTCCTCGATCTCCAGGTCAATCGGACTCTTGCAGGCATTCAAGGCCCTCTCCAACAGCTGATGGTTGCCGTCGTTGGCCAGGATGTGGATCAGGGCCTTGCCCTTGTGCAGCTCAATGTGGTGCGAGTCGGAGAGCTGGTGCAGCGTGCTCGAGGCGTTCTCGTCCTGGCTCTCTGCCGGTGGTTCACTGTGCTCCGAGGGACTGCCGGCCCGCTGGGTCTCCATCAGGCAGCTCTTCTCGCTGGACAACAGCAGGTCGGCCAGCTCGAAGTCTATGTTCTGCGACTTCTCGGAGAGTTCCGGCGACATGAGCGAGGACTCGCAAGAGTTCTGCGACTCGGCATTGTTGATGCCCGTCTCGATGAGCAGCTTCAGCATCTTGGCATCCGTGGGGAGGCTGGGCTTGAAGAAGTCGCACAGGAACTGGGCGAAGGGCTCGCTGAGCTCGCTGGCCAGGAAGCGCTCGAGCATGGAGCGCGTCTTGGGCAGGAAGTTGACGTCGTATTTGAAGTCGTGCTCGCACTGCGCACAGCAGTTCATCTGGTTGGTGTAGAAGCAGTCGCTCAGGTTGAGCCGCGATTCCAGGAGCATCAGGATGAGATCGAGATCGACATGCCGGCTGGTCAGGTACTCCCCCGACCTGATGAGGTGGTAGGCAAACCTCCGGACAGTGTTCGCACAGAGGGTGTCCGCCACGAGGAGATAGTACATGGAGATCATCACGTGGCCCTCGTTCACGTCGCAGATAAACTTCTTGGTGGCGAACTTGACGTCCACCAGCCAGTCGGCGAAGGAGTTGTGGAAGATCTTGAGGCGCTGGGCGTTGGAATCGTAGGCCAGGATATTGCGCATCAACTGCAGTCGCTTCTCAAACTCCTGGCAGTCGATGGTGTAGTTGTGGGTGCGCAGGCAGTTGAAGAGGAAGAGCTTGTCCACGTAGCCGGAGGAGGCGAGCAGGACATTCAGGAGGGGCCTGATCTTCATGTACTGCTTCTTGTTGAAGGACTTCTGGCAGATGTACAAGTACAGCCCGTTCAGAGTGCAGGGGATCAGCTTGATCTCCCGGAAGCTGAAGAAGTTGTCCTTGATGCCGTGCAGAACCTTCTCCAGGTAGAGGATGCAGCCGTTCGATTTGATGTACAGCTGGTGGAGGGACTCTATGATCTCCTTGGTCAGCATGATGCTGTCCTTGAAGTCCGAGTTGAGTCGGTTGATGATGTACTCCTGAACGTCCTTAACCACGTGCGACTTGCGCAGATCGTCCAGTGTGATCTTCTTGAAGCCGGTGAACATCTTGGTGATCTGCTTCGTCTGCTTCTTGGTGGTGCAGACGAGGAACAGCCACTTGGGAAACAGGTGGATGTGATTCGAGAGCAGTTCTGCCACGTTGCGGCTCTTGTGGTTCGTGACCGTGCCCCTTCCGCCCTTCAGGGTGGAGATCAGGTTGCCCTCGTTAATGTAGTTCTCGTCAATGGAGTCGATCAGCAGGAGAAGAGCCGTCTTTGGCGGTGTGAGTTCCAGGAGGGGAAACAGGAAGGCCTTCTTGAAGCACTCGTCGGGGTTCTTCTCGATGTTATCCACGCTGAGGCACTCGAGGATCTCCGGGTTGGAGAGCAGCAGCTCGTAGTAGCCATCGGCTATGATGGTGCGACAGCTCTTGGTCTTCGGCAGAGGCGGGGGCAAGGTGTTGGTGCTGATCCTGGGTTTGTCGCCTGGAACGGGCGGTGCCTGCTGCACTTCCTCCGGTTTGCCATTCACTTTGGTTTCTGTAAAGTCTATGAGAGGTTCCGTACTGGAGTCAGCTGAGGGTTCGGGTTTTGGTTCCGCCTCCTTCACTTCCTGACTCTCCTTGTCCAGCTCCTCCTTCAGTATCTCATTCAGCTCCTTGTCCGCCTCTGGTTTATCCTCCTCTTTGTCTTCGTTCTTGGCCGGGGCTTCCTCCACCTTGTCATCCTTGATGGCCGCCTCGATTTCGTGCTTCTCCTGATCGGTATTGAGATCGGCTATGTCCTCGCCACCTCCCTGCTGGATGGACTGCCCTCCGTTGCTGATGGTGGACAGCTTCGAGGGAGAGAGCACTCCGCTGCCGGAGCGACCGCGCTTGACGGGAATCTTCGACTTGGTCTTGGCGGGACTCGCCTTGGGCGGCTCCTTTGGTTCCTGCGACTGCTTCTGCTCCTTCTCGCTGCCCACGTCCTTGTCCTGCTCCGGTTCTCCCCGCTCCCGAGAGGCTCGCTTCGGAGGATGGGTGCCATAGTTGCCGGCCGACTTCTCATCCGGGTTCACTGCATCGACGGCCTGCAGGGGAGCCGGCTCCGACTGCTGGCGCGTGAGACCCGTTCGGGTGGCCTTGTTCACCGTGGAGGTGCGCTGCGACTGAAAGTTGTCCAGCTCCTTGGTGTCGCACTCGCTGGCCCCTCGCTTGAGCTCCTCGATGAGCAGCTCCTCGGCGTTCTCGCTCAGACTGATGTTGTTCATGGCCTCGTCCAGCTTGAACTCCTGCTGCTGGGCCTCCTCGCGCAGGAAGGAGAAGCCCTCGTCGATGATCCGCTGGCTCTCGTCCTTGCTGATCAGCGAGGCGTGGCTGAGCAGCTGCAGCACGATCTTGCGCATAAACAGCGACAGGCTGTGGCACTCCGGGTTCTGGGACTCAATCAGGTAGCAGGCCAGCAGCTTCCGGTTGAGGATGCCCTTGGTGCCCGAGTTGCCCTTCATGATGGCCTGGCAGATGGAGGTCTTCCCCGATCCGTTGGATCCCAGCACCAGGCAGCCGTTGTAGCTGGAGCTCGATATGGCCGCCGCCTTTGCCCTGGCGGACACGTAACTGGAGGAGGCTGCTCCCAGGGCCACTGGCACTGGCTTCTTGCCCGCCGTCCGCTGCTCCAGGCACAGGGCGATCTTCTTGAGCACCCACTCCCTGTGGATGTAGACGGTGCTCACGATCCGGTTGTTGGGTTGTTCCAAGCCGCCTCCGTGCACCAGCCCGTTGACCTCCTTGTCCGGGGACACCTTCCTCTGCATGAGGGCCTCCAGGTTGCCATCTGTGTCCTCGGCTGGCTGGGCTTTCGGTCCCCCGGCCGCCTCCTGGCCGTCTTCCTCGGGAGCTGATCCCCCGTTGGTCTCGCCATTCGAGTGGTGGGCGACGTCCTGGGGGAAGTTCTGCTGCACCAGGTTGGCGAAGTGCTCCTCACGCGCCAGGTTCGAGAAGCTGGCGTTGGGACAGTCGCGTCCCGTGATCTCCAGCTTCTTCTGCAGCTGCGTGGTGTCCTTGAGGAAGTTGAGGATCCGTCGGTCCTCGAGGTGCTGGTTTGCCGTTCCGCCCGGCTGCTGGTTGCTGTACTTGGAGCCACCGACTAGAGCGCTCGTCGAGGCGCAGCCGTCCACGCCATCACCGTTGGCATCGTCCTCGTCCGCATCCAGATCGGTGATCTGGACGGGGTTTCCGTTGCGGGCACTGGCCAAGCGATTCGAGTCCCGAAAGTTGGACAGCTTCGGCTCCGGGTTTCCGGTGGCCGCATGGCGACCCCGCTCGCCGCTCTTGTAGCGATCGGACTTGCGCAGCGGAGTGGCGTAGAGCATCTCCTTGGGCATGTTGGAGACGGGCGGCGGCGGGTGGTTCTTGTTCATCGCCGGCGTGGAGTTGCAGTTGCCAACTCCAATGGAGTTGGCATTCGGGTTGTTTGGGTTGCCGCCCGTCTGCGTGGATGATTTCTGCTGCTGCATCTTGCGCACCGAGTCGTTGTACATCGCCTGACAGGGCAGATTTTCGTAGATGTCATTGCGCAGATTATCGTTGTCCGTGTGCTTAGACATTGTGCCTGGTTTGTTCAATGGTTGGATGACTGGATGACTGGATGGCTGGCTTTTCAGCTTTAGTTTTGTGCGAGAAAGCTCTGCAGGATGTGCGTAATCCGTTTGCCGACTGTCTGCTCCCAGAAATCGCAAATCGGGTTCGTTGGCTTCTGGCTCTGCCTGTCTGCCTTTCACTTAAGCCGCTCGCTCGACTGCAAAGGAGAAGACAGGGGAAATGGGTTTAGTTTTATCACTCTAATATGCTGCAGCTCTCAAAACTAATCGTTGGAAGCGAGTGCCAAATGGTTTAATTACGTTTTGTGCAGAGATTATTGGCTGTTGGGTAACCATTGGGAAGTTCAGTAGATTGCATTTCATTTCATTACAAATGGATGTTGAGTTTATTGCGTTACTAAGCTTTAGATTAAATGGAGAAATTAGTCTTACTCATATAGCAAATGCAGCTTTAAATTGGTCAATTCAATCCACCATTTCAATCGAGCTCTAAAATGATTAAAAGTGCTTTTTCCTCGTAATCTCCTTTCTCGTTAGTTCCATTATATCCTTAAGATAACAGAAATTACCTTTTCCCCAGTGGCCCTTCCATCTTTTTGGCTTTTATGTGCCATTACATGAACTTAACTAGCACTTTCTTCTGCCATGCTTTCCAGTGGCTTCACTTTTTTTTAGCATCCTGCAAACAATTGACCTGATTTCTATACATTTTAACCCTTTGGCAGCTGGCGAGCTCCTCCCAGGCATTCACATCCTCCTCCTCATCCACTCCCACCTCCACCTCACCTCCACATTCACCTCATCCACACCCACTGGCTGTGCACACAGAAATACATATACTTGTCATCATTTTTCCTGCGCTTGTCTTTACGCGCAGTGTCTTTTGTTCTGGGGCTTTTCGCCCCATCTAAGCTTACATGCCATTTATGTGCGTCGCTGAGGACGACTAGGACGACTAGCACTATGGGCACTAGGAGCCCAGGATGACTGCGGGTGGGTGACAGGGTGGCAGCCTGCTCCGTGTAAATAATGTCTTTCATGCCACAAAGTTTTTATTTTAAACTTCAATTTACTCGTTGGGCGTCCGTGTGTCCATGTCTGGGGCTTTGGGGCGGACGGGGGGTTGCAATGTAACTAATGATACGTCCCGGCAGCACGCTTGTTGTGCAACTTTCCGCCACAAAATGGAGCAAATTCAGCACGTTCTTGGTCCGCTGACGGCGGCTCCACAAAACTCTTGCCGTAAAAAATCCGGGCCAAGTGAAATGAATGATTTACGCCCGCTCTAAAGGGGAAAGCCATTTCCCAAAATGACAGCGACGAAAAGGGCCGACGATGGATTACCATAATGATCGGCAAGTCAGCTGTAAAATCCATTGGTTGAACGGGTGACAGGATAGCCGCGGGCAGATGGGATTACAGGAGACCAGGAGCAGAAACAAGAGCAGAAACAGGAGCAGAATCAGGAGCAGAGGCAACGGCAGGAAAGTCATATGGAAACAGTTTGGCCAGCACACATCAACTTCCTGACCGCGATGGCACGTGAGTGCTCTTGCTTTCGGCCAAAAGCGGCCGTTTAAGCGTAATTATTGGATGGATGCCCGCATTGTTCAACCCGGTTTGCCGCCACCGCGGTTTCCACCATCCATCCATTCAACCACCCACCCACCAACTTCCCACCGAAGGGCCACAACAATGAGGCACGTACAAAGTTCCATTTGGCTTTGCCACATTCGAGTATCGCCCGATTTGCACGTTCTCCGTGATTCTCCTTTTTTATGGCACCAAATTGATTCGCCATTGTAAACGAAATGGAAATGGCAGCGGTCTGTGATTTCCCGAAGGGAATTTAAAGATTTCAAAGTGCTGAAATGTGCTAATTATGCAAGTTTAACGACTTTCGCGAGCCGAGTGCGTGTAGCACGGCTGGGCAAAGGAAAAATATAGGGTAGGGCTCCCCGGCTAATTGCAATTTCCCCAGCTATGGCATAAGTTTTCCCTTCGAAACTTGACAAACTGGCAGACCGTGTAGCTCCCGATAAAGTTTCTCGTAGCCCGCAAAGTTTAATTGATGTTCCCCATGCAATTATGCTAATTAAACGCAAGCAGCCGATCACGCATTGTAATTGAACCAATTTTTGCACATGATTCAGCCGCAGGCAGTTTCCAATATTTCTCGCACACTGTAAATGTCTATAAACACGGCGGGAATGTTAAACAAACAGCGGAAAAAGATTTAATTAAATGGGCAAAAATATTTGTTTGTGCTCTCGAAGCGTATTGGAAGTAATCACACGAGTGCGAAGACAGACAGCCGGTCGGCAAGCCACATGGGGCATGGTTTCCATAGACATAGACAGACATCTGGATCTGGATCTGGGGCTTGGAAACACATCTGCGGCTGGCTGATGGCTGCTGGCGGATGGCGACTGGCAGCTGGGTGAACTTGAGCCAAGGCGGCGTGGGAATGTTCCGCCTGCTGCTGCCGTGGGCCCACAAAAAAATGCAAATGCGAATTTTTCGCCTGGAAAAACAGCTCCAAAGCTCGGAGCCCCGCCCAAAAAAAAAAGAAAGGACCAGAAAAGCCGAGAAGAAAAGAAAGCCAGTGGTCGGTTCGGAACGTAATTGAAATGTTGCACCCACAGCCTGGGCGTTTAATGCACTTCACATTTACATTAACATTTACATTTACGCCCGCCTGGCATTCAAAGGATGCAAAATGCAGACAGGAAGAGTACTCCATTAATTTGTATTTACATATTTCGGCTTCGCGTTTACTCTTTCTCGCCTTTTTTGCACTGTTCATTATGACGGGCGCGCTGCTCATGTTTAAATAATAACTCTCCGACTTGTTGACTCGCTCAATTATTCAGGCAATAACTTTTCGTAAACAAAATATATTCCATGCATGGCAAACAGTGTGCAGGCGCAAGCAGATGTATGCAAACAGAGTTAGACACAACATATATTTATTGCACGTATGGGTGGGTGGTGGTGCTGAAATGGTGCTGCGATTCATCAGAGCGACAATCGGAGCGCAGATACTAAATCAAATAAGGCATCAAATTGTTTGCGAATGGAACGGAAAAAGGTAAAAATCAGACGAGATTCGCTGTACGTGCAGAATCATGTGAAAAACAGCAGCAAAGCAGCAAAACAGCAAAGCAGCTTAGAGGCAACCAGAGTTTGCAAACTCAGGAGCACTTCCGTATCGATTTTCAGGCTCCCTCGGCTGCAAACCATGACAAACGAGCGCGGACGGGCAGAAACCGAGTTCGCTGTTGAAAGTCTGCATACTCTGCAATAACTCAGTACAAAGCAAGATGTTTAAGAATGATCGATGGCCTCTAAAGTTATCGAAAAGAAACTTTACCCTCAAACTTTTCAACCATTAATGATTTATACTTGGTACACATTTGTTATCCCTTTTCATAGTTACTCCTTTTCAGGTATTTTCATTCCCAATCGATTTTCCAGTCGACAAACCCTTTGCCACAAAACCGTTTGAAGCTGAAATCAAAACGAATACTCTGGGCTCCGCTTACAGATGCGCTTAATTTTGTAATACAATGCCGCTGGAGGCTGAGCAGTCCCCCTCCTCCGAGCGCTAAGGACTCCCAGTGGGTTGGGTTTTGCAGCCAGGATCGTGCCCAAAACCAATGGCATTGTGTTTGGGCCCTGGGCTGTGGGCTGGCTGGCTTTCGGTGCCCTTATCATCCCGTCCGCCAACATTTGCGGCTGCACCGGAAGCGGATTGAATGCGGGCATCGGAAAGGACAATGGTGTGTGCTCGGTGCCGGTGCCGGTGCAGCGGCATTTGAAATGGGAACAGGATGTCGCAGAGCTGCCAGGATGCTGCGATGTCCGTGATCCCTCGGGGTGAACGCTTAATTAAACTTAAATTTTTCATGCCTCCGTAAATGCATTTTATGCATTCACAGGACATTATGGCTATATGAGAGTGGAAAGAGGCGGCGCGCGAATCCGTTCTGTATGAGCGCAAACATTAAGCCTGACACTGCCGTCGTCGTCGTCGTCATCATCATCATCATCGTTCTTGGCAGGGATTCTGTGTAATATTGCCGGAATGCCTGACGGCCTGCATCCTGGCCCTTCCTTGCTTCTTGGCACACCAATCCCACTTCCCACTTCCTGCCATGCATTTTTCAGCACTCTACGAGAACAGCGAACGCAATTTCGGCGAAAAAGCAAGAGTTCTTAAGTGCCGAGGGAACAGAGGGCACAAGGCAGCCATTTCGCTACTTTCCAAAACTTGCCATACATTTATTTACTCGGAAAAGTAATTCCGCTGAGCGCTATATGATGAACTGGAAAACGCCCACTTTTTCTTTTGTTCTGTGTAAACTTTCCTCGGCGAATGAGTGTTTTCTCGATGCCAAAAACATGGCAACTGGCCAAGGCAAAGTCTGGTAATTGTTTGAAGACAAAGTGGACAGCAATTAAACCTACAAGCCACATAAATTATTCGAGTCATGCATTCTAACTACTACAATCGCATTTCCCCCTGCACTCGTTTGCGTTATCAGACAGCTGCATTGTATCTACATATTGAAAAGCTGCCTCCTGGCAAGCCTCCTCTCGCATATCTGTGTCATCTGCCTTGTTCGCTGTCTGTTTCGCCCGGAGCCCACATATTGACATCGTTTTTTGACAAACACTATGTGCCCCCGATAGCACCTTTTCATCTGAACTACTACTACACCCTGCTTCGCACTCCGCCCCTCGGTGGAAAATGCAGGGACACGCACTTGCCTTTTGGCACTTCCGACGCCTCCCTTCCGCCCACCGCTCCCAGTTTTCCAGTTTCCCTGTTTCCCGTTTTCCGCTTTCCGCTCCATGACTTGGGCCATGTTTCTCTGTTTGTCTTTCAATAACTGCGTGCTGGGCCCCCTTGTGTAAATGTCATCAGACGCACTGAGAAAATTTAGTTTTATTTCCCATTTAAAACTGTTTTTAAGATTCCAACTTTGAGTACATTCCATGAGTGTTTTTTATTTCAAATTAAAAGGGTTAGGTATTCATTCTGAAATGATTCTTCAACTTCAACTCTTTGTTCATATCTTTCTCACCGTGCAAAGGCAAAAACTCGCAAAGAAGTCTGAAAAAGTTGTTGGATTTGGGTTATGCTCCGTGTGTGTGCCGAGCAACATTTAATCAAATTAATACACACACACTG